GCCAGAGAAGTCAGACCATCGTGACACTTGTTTTATCCTTTTGCATCAGAAGGGCCCGGAAGGTATGAGGAACACGACAGGTATGAGGAATACGACGGTCGGTATTTTTCGACCCACATGAAAAACATGTTCAGACAGCTCTGATTATGGAACTATTGTCAAAATCATATTATCATACATTATATAGTATTGTCCTATCAAGCAGGCACCCAAAAACATGTCCAATTGCCCGGCGAAAGTCTTCATAGTTTTTGCATGAGTGGTTGGTCTTGTTTCACAGAATTTGTTACTAGTACTTGGCGTGTGACTATATCGTTTTTTCGACAATATATGATGGAAATGTATGCAATCACGTGAGCCAGAATCTGCAAAGTGTATGATACATTAAAAACATTGCCCGGCAGCACTCACTCCTTACAGCGAATATTGCTGGTAGGAGGCAGTCTCAGGGCCGGGGTTGATTTTTTCAGCAGTGTGTTCGAGATTCGGGAGATTCTTACTCCTCACAGCCCCGGGAGGGCTGGCAGGAGGTAGAATCTAAGCTTCACGAGACCATAGTATGTGTACACAATCCTCACAGCAAAAGTCAGTTGCTGGCAGGATCTCAGAGAAAGGGGGCGTGAACACCAGCATCTGAGTGCTGTGTTTGAACGGGAACGGCTTGCTTTCTAGATGTATGCTGCAGAGCCAACATCTGAAAGCTAGCATTTGCGATGTGGTGTTTCCCTTGGCAGTCTCAGCGAGTGCTATTCCCAGTCTTGTGTTGGCATGTGTTGTTACGATTGCATGGTGTTTTGCTGCAGCCGTTTCCAAGCTAAGAAGCTCGAAACCTATCCGCCCCACAGCCTTTTCAAGCAAATATGGCTTTGTGGATGTATGGTATTATGCTTTGGATGTGCCTGCAGGACAGAATAAGGTACATTTTTGTGAGCAAGTGTGATACAAGCTGTGGTCGGGAGGCTGAAACATAGTAGCAGCAGGTACAGGATTTTCAGTGCAAGTTTTGTTGTTAATAGCTGCTTGTGCAGGATGTGATGATCTGCAGCGGCACCAAAGATGGGGAGCCAAAGAGCGACCCTCCGGAGAAGAAGTCCGACCAGGGCGGGGAGGACAAGAAAGATGAGCAAGAGAAAGCAAGTCGAGGACAAAGTTTTGAAAGCACTCACATGAGTCATATTCTTGTAGGCCGTTTTTTTTTCAGTGGCAGGATCTGGAGCTCATATGGCGACGACACCGCCTGGTGACCACGGCGGCACCTCTGGAGTGCCGGCGTGGTCATCGGTGCCCGGCTTTCCTGGGTGGCAGATTCTGGGAAGCCAAGCTGCTGTCCCTGGCATTGCGGTTCCTCCCCAGCCGCCGTTTCCAGGCTATGCGAATGTGCATCAGCCTCAGCCTCCTGTAGTGCTTCCACAGCAGGCAGCAGCGGGGGTGACTCAAGCTGCAGCAGCAACTTCTTTTTGCTTGCAGTGTATGTTTCTCTTGCAGTGTAGGACTAGGAAGGTCCTTGGCTGCCAGAGAGACTTTACTAAATATATAAACTTGCAAGTAAGGTTGCCAGTGGCTCTGCCGGCCCTGATCCTCAGCTGCTCATGTCTGTGATGAACTCGTTACTCGAGTTCATGAACAAGCAGCAGAGCGGCCCGAGCGGCTCAGGGCATTCGCAGTCTCAGGCTGCGGGGCAGCCTCAAGGGGCTACTCTGCAGATGTTGCAACAGCAGAACCAAGAGCTTTTGCATCGGTTGCAGCAGCAGGAAGCCATGCAGGCTCAGCAAAGAGCCAAGCGGACACGAGTCCGCTTGGCTCTTCAGGCTCTTGCCGATGAGTCGGAGGACGATGAAGAGGACGTCCAGATGGAGGAGGAAGAAGAGTACTCTGCTCCGGTGGCAAAGAAGGCCAAAGGCGGGCCTGAGGGAAAGCCTGCAGCTGAATGTGATGCTGCAAATCTTCCAGAGCTGGACTTGAGACTCTGCAACCGCTGCGGCCAAGTCAGCTACACCCGGAAGAATCAGTGCGTAAACACCGCATGCGAGACTTGGCCTGCTTTCAGTTCAGTGTTTTGTAAGTTTTAATTTGGCGTGTGTTCCTGTAAGCTGCCAGCACCTCAGTGAGGAGCTCTGGGACCCGTGGGCGACGCCACAGAAAACGTCTCCACAGCCTGCCCTTTCCAAGCGCCAGGAGTGGTTCCGCCGCCTCAAAGAACAGAAGGCACAGAAGGCAGCCTGGCAGAAGGACAAGCACAAGGGCAAGGCCAAGGACAAGAAGAAGGATAAGGACGAGGCGGCGGATTGGTGGTCTAACACCGATGGTCCGGACTGCAAGAAATGGAAAGATTGGGAGGACTGGACCGGCGATGGCGGATCGGCTGGGGCGGCCCCCTGGAACGATGGCTCTCAGGCTACTGCAGCTGTGAAATAGACGTCACAGTGCACACAGCGGCACCTGAAGCCAATGGACATTGATTTTGTGCGAAAGAAAAAAAGCGTGCGGCCTGATCTTAGCTTTGCTCCGGCGGCAAAGAAAGCCAAAGGCGAGCCTGAGGGAAAGCCTGCAGCTGCTGGTGATGCGGAGGGTAGAAGATGCAGGCAGCTAACAGCCTAGGTGTAGGGCCAGGAAGCTTGTCAGATGGCCCTGAACCTCGCTGGCAGCATGGTTTTGGAATCGAGTTTGCATTGCAGACAGGGGCACCGGGTGTGTTTTGTTTCTGCAGTGACACTTCCCAGTTGTTTGCAGGTGCCTTGCGGCGTTGCATGCATGTGGTGTTCATCTGCAGTCCTTTCTCATGTTTGTTCACAGGCAACAGAGCTCGTGGCATCCAGCATGTCAGGACAGGAATCCACTTCCTCTTGCTCTGTGCCAGATGCAAGCACTGTCGTGTGCCTGCGTACACGTGGTGGCGAGGCCCGGTTCTATCTCCGAATCCCAAAGATTGCACCTGCAGTGGTTGTTTCTTGCCTTTATCATGTTGTGTTGTTTTGTGCTGCTCAGGTGATGAAGATGCGAGACTTGCAGGCAGCTTTTGCCTTGGGCAAAAGAAAGTTGGAGGCAGACCGGGCTTTGGTTTCGAGACATGATGCAGAGTTCGAGGCTCAGCATGGTGACATTGGTTTGGGCTTCTTCTATGACACGGAAGGGACGACTCAGAAGTTCTCGGAAACCTACGGGAATAGAGACAGATTAAGCACTCAGCAGAGGAAGTACCGCAAGAGGTCAGGTGCTCTTCTTGCAGAGTTTCAGCGAGTAGAGCCTCACCTCGCCCACGATGCAGAGATCCTCAGACACATGAGCCAGCTTGGAAAGGTTGTTCGTGCCTTGGATAGCTATGAATCTGGGCAGAGCGGATGTGTTGTTTACGGCCTCAAAGATTTGAAAAGAATCACAGGCGACAGCACCTGTGGTCTCACAGCTGCAGCTCAGAGACTTTCTGCGAAGGCCAGATGCATGCTGGGCGGCAGAGTTGGAGTTTTCAATTAGTTTTTTTTGTTATTTCTGCAATGCAATCCAATTTGTTTGGCGTCGTTTGCATGTATAAGAGAAAAAAGATGCCGGACTCATTGTAATATGGAAGCTTCGTGTGCAGCAAACACGTGAAGTGCGTGCTCCGCATGGCAGTTGGCAGGCAAATCATGCACTACTTTTGTCTCGAGTTGGGATTCTAGCCTGCTCTCAGCGGACCTGTGTCGTTGGGTCGTGTCAGCACCCGAGCCATGCCTGCTCGCAAAGGAAGCAAGGCCAAGGCCAAAGCCTCTCAGCCCGGCCGTCGAGTTTGCGGCAAGCAGTCCTTGGGTGGCCGCTTGGTGAAGACCCTCCAGAAGACCAAGCAGCGGGAGGACAAAAAGCAGGACAAGAAGGAGGCCAGGGTGTCTGGACAGTTCGCGAAGTGCATGAGCACGTACTACGAAAGGACACTCAAGGAAGAGAGGGACTTTGTGTTTTCCAAGTTGGCCGAGCACGACTCATGGATGCCAAAACTGGCAGCCATGTTTCGCAGCGGTGCCTTGGAGAAGCTGCTCTCCATGGAGGCGGAGCAATCCAAGCAGTTGGCCGACGAGGAGGTCGCCAACGAGAACGGGGAGGACCTCGGCTTCCGTGTGAAGGGCAGGGTGACGAAGCTCTTCAAGTTGCCCAAGGACACCAAGACGAGGTTGCTGGAGGACTGGTTTGAGAGCGAGTCCTTCCCGGACCACGAGGAGGACGTCAACGTGGACTGGTTGAACCTGGTGCTCAGCTTTGTCCTGCACGTGTCCAGCAAAGCGAATGTGCCGCCAGTCCCCAACAACCGCTTTGAGAACGTCCTCAGCAAGCAGTTTCAGTTGCGAGCCAAGTTCCTCCAGGAGAAGACGGGCTTCCTGCGATTGGGTGCCGCCGANNGGCCAGGCCGTTCAAAAGCTCCAGTACGGAGACAGGAGCAGGCTTCGGTTCTACTTCTTGGAAAACACGGAGGTCGGTCAGCATCTCGGGTGCGGGTTCCTGGGCAAGAAGGTGCCGCTGCCGAAGCTGCACGAAGGCACTTGGGTCCTCTCGTCGGAGCACGAGTTCGAGGCTGTGGTTCAGAGCTCCACCAACGATGCCATGAGCCTGATCTGTGCAAGTTTCTTTGACAAGGAGCTGAAGGACTTGAACCCTGACGACACGTGGAAGTATGACGAAGAACCGCCGGCAGGAGCAGTGAGCTCGCAGGCTGTAGTCTGCGTCACTGGCCAAGATGGGGAGGCCAGCAGATTTCGCACCTTTGGCCCAGTTTCCAGGAATGCCGCTGAGACGTAGGCTTGTTTTGTGAGGTGGAGCAGGGTCAAGCACGGAGTCTACAGACAGACAGCACTCTGCATTTTCTAGAGTAACGGGGCCAGTGTTCAAGGTGACTTGCTCTGCTCTGCATCCATGCCAATTATCGTCCGATAGGGGAGAACCTCTGTCCACTTTCTGATTTCTGTTTCCGTGGAAGTCTTGTAGCAAGCAGTTGCAGCAGTTCCATCCAGCATGTGTCTTGCGACACAAGCTGGTTAGGGAACCTGCTCCAGGGGTTTCTGCAGCCGTGACGGGGAGAGCAAGCGAAAGAAA